AGGCCTCAAGGTACATTGTTGAGATGCTTTTAAAGTCCGCACAATTTTTAAAAACCATTAATACTGTGAATCTATTATTTATGAGTGTACTTAATGTTCTGCTTTCTCTCTCTCTCTAATGTTTTCCCACATCTTTGTTGAAAGTAGTGTTTCTCTTTATTACTGATTATTTTATCTGTCAAGAAGGCATGCTTTTCAAACTCCAGACATATTCCCTATTTTCCACAACATATACTAGTGTCTATCCACACTCCTCCTGTTTCTACAGGCACTGGTTCTATCAGATCTGATATTTCTGAACTTTTATAGCACTTCCATTCTGGCAATTAAATATGGTTTCTTACATTGTCACTTCCACCTGTGCTTTCAGCTTCAAGAAAATCTTTTTTCCTTCTTTTTCCTGCCTTATAATTTATAACATAGGAGTAAAACAAGGGACTTTTTTTCATTCATTCATTTCTTGGATGAATGAATGAAACGATATTTATAAAGAGTCTTCTATACATACAAGAAATGGTGCTTGGGCCAGGTCACCAAAATGAGCATAGTGTCATTTGTGACTCAGATGAATGAATGACTATACGTCTCAGCCTTGTCCATTCAAATGTCCAAGCCCTGAAAAGCAGAACTAAACCAGTTAAGGCATTGTGAGTCTGAGGCACATCCAAATGACACATTCTAAAATAAAAATTCACAGACCTTAGACAAAAACTTGTGAAAAGACTCGGTGTCTGGGTGGGCATCAGAGATGGCACAGATCTGGGCTGGGAATCCAAAGCTCTGAGCTTCGGCTCCAGCCCTGCTAAGACCCATTTCGTGACAATGACAATCCACCCAGCTACTCTGAGCTTCGGTGTCTAAAAAGTCAGGATGATGGAGAAGACTTTCTCTAAGTTTCCTTCCAGCTCTAAAATTCTATGAATAAACAGCAAGGTAAATTTCCTCCAATTTCTTGCCAGAAATAACAGAATGAAATTAGAAAAGTTAAAATTGAGGGTACTTGATATAATTCCCCTTAGTAAAAGCTTAATGGAATATGGAATTATTCTCAAAGTGGTGAGTTTAAAGCTTCCCTGGTTCAAGATATTTAAAATAAATCTGCTAATTTTCATGGCAGATATTATCAGTACCTTAACAAAGCTTTGGAAAACACATGAGAAAGTAAAGGAAGGAAACTGATAAATGAAAGGTTTTCTTTCTAAAATATCATTGTATAAAAGAATTTCACGAGTCCCCAGAAATATACAATTCTTTGCTTCTTAAACAGAATCAAAAGAAATGAAATGATGGTAGAATAGACTTGTAAAGCACTCATTTAGAGCGACAAACTTAGAAATTAACTTTTTTTCTCCCACACAGAACTGCAGCTTCACAATATCAAGTGTGTACAACACATAAGAATGGTAAGGAGACACAGGAGTGAACAATATGTCAACATAACAACAAGCCTGAGTGACAAATTAGTTGAATAGGAGGAAAATATTTTTGGAGCAAAGTGGTAACAGCTGCAATAAGGCATGAGATAAATTATGTGAGATCCATTTAGCGCAGGAGACCCAAGCAGAAAAAAAGAAGCAGCAGCGGCATGAGTTGAACATGAGCTTATACTGTGTCGAAGTCCAAGGACTGGGGAAACCTCCCTGCGCAGCAGAGGAAAGGTGCTCAAGAACCAAACCGAACGCAGGAGAACAGAACCTGTTTAGAGGCACGCAGGGATCTGGGTCCTCGAGGCAACACACAGAGAGAATTAATGAGTCAGAGCAGAGTTGGAACATAAGATTTCCACAGTGTTATTTTGCTGTCTTTTCAAAATTCAGTGTTCTTTTTTGGAACTTTGTACCATGCCCCCCAAGTGAGCTTCCATATAGCTTTACAGGAGAAATAGGAATTGGTTCCAAAGAAGCAGAAGGCAAGAAAATTCAAAGTAGATGTCCAAAAATGTGGCTTCAAGTGTAGACAGCTGTGAAATAAAGCAGAGGTCCGAAAGCCTCCGACTATAAGAAAATATATTCTCAAATGTATAAAACTCTGTTAACATATAAGTGAGACAACGGTGCTGTTACGCCCGAATGGAATCGAATTCAAGTTTAAACAGACATCAAGGTGGTTAGGCTTTTTAAGTCAAAAAATTCAAACGGGTGACTCCCTGGTAACACTACCTCAAACACCTCATTCATGCATTGCATTTCATATCTGCTACATTAACTTTCAGGATTTTCTATTTGTAAAATGGCCAGCATAGAATTGGGATGAGACTTCACTAAACCTTAACTGAAATATATGAAGCACATTGGAATTGGTGGAGAATTGAAACAAATGTTCAAAAAGAATCTTACAGAAAGACAGAACTTTCTCCCTGTGCTCTGCTCAGATGAGGCTATTTTAAAGTAGCACGCATTGAAACCAAAACATTCTTGAACAAGAGCAAAGATGGATAAACTGATTCCATGGATGGATGCCCGCTCGAAGTATTTGCCTTGCCTTACAAAGTCAGTAGGTCTTGGGGAAGACACGTGGGGCACAAGGCACTTTGGCAGATTAACATGTACTATGATGAGAATAAGCAAAGATATCCAGGAAGCATACTGAAATACCTTATATTTGTGCCAGGATTTTTTTATTTCACAAAGTTCTTTCGTGGACACTATAACTGACCTTTTCCATCTGAGTAAACTGAGGTTTAGAGAGATTTCTAATTTAACCTACAGTGTACGGGCTGGAAAAGAGATCTGTGCCCAGTACTTGACACCAAGCTGAATGCTCTTTCCATTCTGTTACCTTCTTTGTTAATCTAGTGGAGTCTGTGGTAGAGGGGAACTGAGGCATTATTTAAGGGGTTTGTACTAACACAGCCAAAGATACTTGCCATGGAGTTTATGTAATTGTAAGTCAGGAAGTCCCAATCTGTACATCCAGAAATGTACCGAGACAGGCAGGGCAAGAGAAAGAATCATCTGTGTGTTCTACCCTGAGGACAGCATGTGGGTAGGAAAGGAAAGGAAGGAATTGCACATTTATTGAGCACCAACATGTACCAGACACTGAGCTGGGTATTTTACGTGTTATTTATTTTATTCCTACCCTAAGTTGTAGGACTTACAGGTACCATTTTCCAGCGGAGGAAACCGAAGATCAGAGAAGTTGAAAAACATTGCCAGCATCACCAAGCTGTAAAATGGCCAGCGTGGATTTGGGATGAGATATCTAAACTCTGCTGACTTCTAAATCTCTACTTTCCTTTACATCATATTGCCTCACAACGTGCACGGACATCTAAGCTTTACAGATTGCAAAATGCTTTCACATACCAAATTTCTCCTGACCTGCAGCACAGGGCTCACAGCTGGACCCCAGTCTTGATGGAAGGAGAGGGAGCAGTCACCTTAGTCTCCCTCCGTTAACAGGAGGAGATAACAGGAAATAACAGGGAATAAAAGGGATAACAGGAAAATCAGGTAGGGAAAGGAGAAGGCACCCGTCCCTTCTGAAACCAAAATCGGAGTTTCCTTTGTGGAAGGGAGAAGGAACTGTGTCACTTTAACACGCTTCGTCTTCTCTGCTACCCTTCGGGACATGCTCTCTATGTAAGCAGCACCTGACAAGCACAGATTTGAGAGTTTATCACAAACAGTGGGCTGGATCTTGCAGTAAAGACAGAACGTCTCTTATTAAAGTAGGGTGTTTGATTTTCTCTTCAGACCAGGAGGACTGAACCGAACCCGATTACAAAATAGTAACCCTGAAAGCAAAATGCCAGTGAGTATACGATTGGAGATTGCTTTCTTCTGGGCAGGGTCAGGGAAAATAATCACGTTGACTTTTATGGCCCAGCATGCAATGTTAATTTACTAAATGCCCGTATCTAGGCAAAGAGAGAAATTCTTGTCTTCTGGCTCCAAATCCCCCCTCCACACCTTCCCCTCATCTCTTACTCACATGCTATATTGTGCTCATTAAGAATACAAAACAGAGAAAAGAGTCAGCGGTCTTCACAGATTAGATAACTAAATAGATGTTTTCCTAAAGCATTGGGCTAACTTATACGAGCTGCTGTTGCAATCTCAAAACATCAACGGCCTAACAGAATCAAAAATGTATCTCACTTACATCAAATGTGGATCAGATAAAGCTTTTTAGTTGGTGTTTTCTCCACACAGTGACTCAGGCACCCGGGTTTCTTCCAATATGTGACTCCTTTTAGATTCCAATTTACCCTGAGCTTTATCCCTTGGGCTTTGTGGGAAGAAGGTGGGAGTTTCAGTGGGGGGAGACACACTGGTACGTAAGTCCCTTAGCCCAGCAGTAAACAAGTCGCCTCTGCTTACAGCTCATCACATGGCAAACCTAACTGCCAAGAAGGTTGGGAAATGTGGAGGGGCACTATGTAAAAAGTGTTCACTTCCTCTCCCAAAGATGTAATACAGAGACCCACCAGTCCCTGCATTCAGCTTGAGTCCTGGATTCGTGGCAATGTCTGGTTCATTTTTGCAGGCCCAGATGCGACTCCTCTTGGTCTGGCAACCTTTGAACAAAAATGACAAACGATTGGCCCCTCTCCACTCCCAACATACAGCGGGGGCAGGTAAAGGATAACTGCCTCATAACTTTCATTCAAAAAAGGGAAGTCAATGGTGCCACATTCCTTAACATCACAGTTAAGAAGTGACTCTGGGCAGAGATGAGAAGGGTTTTTATTGGGAAAGGGGAGCAGCCTTGATTAGGTTCTGATTCCATTCTGCCCGAAGCCCATTGTCCACCAACCTCAGGGGTACTTGGTTCCTTCTAAGAGGAGCCTTCCTGTCCATTATTCTTCTTCCCATGTCTAAAGTGGGGGCTGGGGAGCAAGCCCTCATTTGGGGGCCATAGAGCTTTTGAAGCCTGCTTCCTGCTTATGGAGGTTTGGAGGTCAAAGACGGATGTAAATCTTCAGCAATCAGAGGCTGCTCGGGCTTGGGGTTTCTCTAGCAACGTGGATTCCTCAAAAACTGGGTAGACAGTGTTTGCTCTGGCAGCATATAAACGAACCCTGGAGCCACACAGAGAAGATTAACACGGCTCTTGCGCTAGGATGACGTGCAAAGTCACCGAAGGTTTTATATTTTTTAATAATTAAAAAAAACTTCGTAGACTTTTAAATTGATTTGTTTCCAGTGATTCCCCTCCCACTTCATCACGGTGCCCTGTGTCAGTAGCCATACCTACAATGCCTTCCTAGACGTGGGCTTTTTACAGTGAACACGCTTCCTGATTTAACCAGGTATAAGGGGTTCCCAAGAACTCGGGACTTTCGGTTTATTGGTCAGCCTAGTTTTTCACGTCCAATATTCCTATTTTTCCTGGGTCTCATACTTCTCCCTCTCTCAATCTCATGGTTGCTACCTTGAAGCCATGTCGAGTAATCAGTGGGGAGACCATATCTTGTAAAATACTAACAGGTTTCCTATTGCTATTTATTTATTTATTGAGATGGAGTTTTGCTCTTGTTACCCAGGCTGGAGTGCAATGACGCGTTCTCGGCTCACCACAACCTCCGCCTCCTGGGTTCAGGCAATTCTCCTGCCTCAGCCTCCCGAGTAGCTGGGATTACAGGCATGCACCACCATGCCCAGCTAATTTTTTGTATTTTTAGTAGAGACGGGGTTTCACCATGTTGACCGGGATGGTCTCGATCTCTTGACCTCGTGATCCACCCGCCTCGGCCTCCCAAAGTGCTGGGATTACAGGCTTGAGCCACCGCGCCCGGCCTCGTATTGTTATTGAACAGGTTATTATTTATTCGTAGTTTGAGAGAGAACATCACTTAAGCATTTCTAATGTTTGTCTTTTATTATTTGGCTTTTCCAATGCTGGCAAGTGCCTAAACCTTCTCTCTTTCATTTCTGCTTGTTCATCAATCAGTTCTTCTGCAGCTCATCCCTTCAGAACCTTACTTTGTTAGCTGCAGCCAATAACAGCGACTGCAGATCACCGCTATGAATAGCCACAACGCTTTCTAACCACGTGCAGAGTCAGAAAACATGGGACCCATCCCCTCAGTTATTATAGACAACAATTTTATTAAATGCTTTGCCTCTCTGTGTGGCAAGATCACGGTCTTTCTGGCCTGTGGTCAGTTTTCTCACTGGTGGCCGTTTATTCAGCTGATGCCTCCCGTTTTAGGGACTTTTATGGCAGCATTCCACGTAAATACATCAATTTCAATTCCTTTGCTAGATAAAGCCATGTTGCTACAATAACCATCTTGTAAACTCCCCGAATCTCAGTTACTTAATAATTTTCCTCCTCACTCATGTCATGGACCGATGCTGGTCAAATGACTGTTCCCTAAGTGCTGGCTCAGAGATTCAGGTTTCTTCCACGACGTCATTTCACCACCTTGGATCCAAAGAGTCGGAGTACAGTGGGAAACAGGATGCAGGAGGCACATCAGGTAATTAACTGCATCCACTTTAAAGAAACACACATTCCTTCAGCTCAGATTCCATTGGCCAGACAACAGCAAGGGAGGCCAGAATGTAGTGGAGACATGAACTTCAGAAAGCATAAATCGGATCTCCTCTCCTGCAGCATAAATCGGGTCTCCTCTCCTGCAGCATAAATCGGATCTCCTCTCCTGCAGCATAAATCGGGTCTCCTCTCCTGCAGCATAAATCGGGTCTCTCTCCTCTCCTGCAGCACGATGAGACGGGCCTTGGCTCTGTCTGCTCCTGAGGTTCAGGCCTCTACTCTCTCGCTGCCTTCCGTGATGAGGAATTCCTTTTTCTCATTCATAATTGCTACCATTACCCCATCCCTCAGGGATCCTCTTAGCCAATTACACCTGGGGAGTAGAACGCCGTCTCCTTAGGTCTTCCTTCCTTAGATACATCAGTACTGATAATAATAAGGCCTTTCTGTTTTAGAGGATCTCTACTAATCACTAAAAATCACAGAAGTAGCCGTGTGCAGACAAAGTTCTGGGAAAGTTAAAAGTGTCTACTGGCTTGACCCTGGCCCGTAGCTCTTAACATTGAAGCTGACCGTTGGGAAGACCTCTGGATGTTTACTCTGAACTATTGTTCACGAAGGAAGATGCTATCAGACTTCTTCCCTTTCCATATTAAAGGTGTATAAAAGCAGAGCTTTAAGTGACTGCCAGAGAACTCTCTTGAGCAGTTTTGCATGAGTATGTAACACAGTGCTGCTTCAGCAAATGATTCCATTCTGCTGCCCATAGTGGCAACACCTCACTTCTGCTGAGCTGAGCTCTTTCTATCCACCAGGCATCCTTCTAAGAATTTTACATTTTTAAACCTATTTAATATTCATAGAACTGTCTATGTTATGAACTATTATTATCCCACTTCACAGATTTTTTTTAAATGAGGCAGAGAAATGATAAGCAGCTTGCCCAAGTTCATATGGCTAGTAAGTTAGTAGAAGTAGAAGTGATATCTTACTGCAGAGACCATACTCATAACCATGTAACAAGCTGCCGTTATATCAGTGCAAAACTTTCAAAAACAGGAGGATTAATTTCCCTTCATCTTGGCCAGGTTTAAAGAAGAGGGGATTATCCATCATGCTTGGGTCTGCTGCTTTCTCCAGAATAACTTTAATAGTCTTTCCTCTGAGCTCATCTCTCAACTCTCAAAGCACCTATAGTTCCTTTAGCTCTTATTAAATTTCAAATTAAATAACTTTTATGTGAGTATTTATTTTATGCCTGCTTCCACATTAGACCAACACGTCGCAATACTGGTCAAAGTGTAATCCTCATGCTAGGTACAAAAAACTCATCTGGATGCTCTTTCAAATGGGATCCTTTGATCCCACTCAGACTTACCGAATCAGAATCTCCAGGAACTGAGTTCAGGAAACTATCATTTAAGCAATGCCATAGTGACTCTTGGGCACACTAAAGTCTGGTTATTAATGCTTTAGACAAGTGCTTCTGAAATGTGGTCCACAAATCAGCATCATCTGGAAACTTGTTAAAAATGCAGACTTTTTGGCCCCACCCAGAACAACTTAATCAGTAACTCAAGGGATAGGGCCCAGTGTTCTGTGTTCGACCAAGCTTCCAGTGGATTCTGAGAGGCTAAAGTGTGAGAACAACTGCTGTAGACCACAATGAACTCCAAAAAGGTCTGTTTTCTTCCTGTATCACCAGCACCTGTCTAGCTCAATGTCCAATATTCAGTATAATCTAGATATTTGCTGAAGAACATGTGGATGATGGGTAACTATTTAAAATGGAATGCTGAGGGAATAATTCCACAACAGGACAAAAATCCTAGCATTGTGACTCATCATGTGTTTGTTGTGAAGTCATCTAATCCTGACTGCCTACTTGGATCACACAGTGGAAAGATGCTTGCTTCTTACTCTCTCTCTCTCTTTCTCATTCTCTCTTTGCTCTTTCTAACAGCAGGTTAATGGATGCATTCGAGCCATCAGTCATAAGCCAGTGTCTGTTCTGCAATTTAGATAATAGCTTCTTGCATTTTTTTTTAATTTGATGGAGTGTGAGGAATATGGAAAGTTAATAGGAAATTAATTTTATAAGTCATTCATAATTTGAAAAGTCTGGGGTCACTGCATGTGCAAAAATTCCTGTACCATAATATGATATCTAATTTAGAAACAGATTAGTTTCTTACATAGTGTTAGGCAGTAGGGGGAAAAAATAACATAGCTTTAAAATAATAGTTCAAGTCAGACCGAAATATTGAAAATATTTTGGAATATCTTAAATATTTTGATATATGATATATATAATATATATACACATTTAGTAGATATATACATTATATATATAATATTTTGGCATATTTTCTATGGTAAATGCATATATGTGTGTGTGTGTGTGTATATATGTTATAGAAAATATGGCAAAATATGGCAAATATATGATGTGTGTGTACATACATATACACACAAGGCACTAAATATTTTATATATGCAATATGTGCACATGTGGCTAGATAGACACACAGAAATGTTTTGTGAAAATAAATGAGCACCTCCAATTCAGGTACAATATGGAGTAGATCCAGTTCAACCTGTTCTTCCCACTAATCACAGTAAAAATCGCTGGACATTATTCGTAAAGCAAACATAAAAAGACTGATACGTAGAGAGAAAATGGAAGACCGTATGAGGACTTTCACAGGTGTGGACATACATGGTGGCAGAAATCCCATCACCAATCGAGAGTAAGCAGGACCTTTCCTTACTCCTGTGGTGGTGATGGAGGCCCAGGGGAGAACCTGAGCTTTCCCCATACCTGGCAGGAGCAAAGGGAGACAGACCTCTTTCACAACCTGTCTAGTGTTGGAGGAAGACTTCTAAAGCAAAATATTTAAATGAGGTCAACCATCTTGTAAGGTAATACCCAGGATGTCCAGGATACAATAGAAAACCACTTGTCACACTAAGAACAAGACAAATTCCAACTTGAGTGACAAAAGACAATGAACAGATGACAACAGCAAGATTATACAGATGTCAACATTACCTCACATGGATTTGGAAGCAGCCATGATAAAAAGTGCTTAGTGAGTAATTACAAACACACTTGAAACATATGCAAAAGAGTAAGATCTCAGCAAATAGAGGGAAGATATAAAGAAGAGTCAAATGAACAATTTGGGATTAAAGAATGCTATAAATTAACTACAGTGAACATTTGCTGTTTGGGACACACACCATCACTGCTTCCGAGTGTTACCCAATTGTGCAAGTCTTATGAAGAGGCAGAACTCTGCCTCTGACTCTTCAGCAAGGAGGGCGGGCCCATGACGTAGGGGCTGCAATCAGATGCAGTCTGCCTGGGAATAGACTCTCTAAGGAGTGGCATAAAGGTAGAGAAATGGTCAACTTTTTCATAATGGTAGAAGAATCCTCAGTATTACAAGAGCAGCAGCAGCAATCAGAGTCACGTGGTAATAAGCGCTAAAAATTCCATTCTTGCGCAATGGCCTTGACTGTGTTTTAGGTTATTTCCGTCTGTCTTTCTTTTTTCTTTTTCTTTGTTTGCTGTTAGTTATCATCACTTGAACCTTACAGGTTTTAGAAGCCTTATTTGCCAGTCTTTTTTCTTGGTTCTTTGAGTTTCCAAAT